TCTCTCTCTCCCTCTCTCTCTCTCTCTCTCTCTCTCTCTCTCTCCCTCCCTCTCCCTCTCTCTCTCTCTCTCTCTCTCCCTCTCTCTCTCCCTCTCTCTCTCTCCCTCTCTCCCTCTCCCTCTCTCTCTCTCTCTCTCTCCCTCTCTCTCTCCCTCTCTCTCTCTCTCTCTCTCTCTCTCCTGCAGTTAACCCTTTGAACTCTGTAGAGTAGACGGTAACGGTCCGCCACTGCCTACACTGGTACTTTTGCTTATTGTGATGTCATTTCCTGGAGTATCATATCCATACAATTAGTCAATAAACCATAATCATTGAAAAACATATTAAAATTGAGTCATAAATAGAATAAACTTTACTCAGGTTTTATTAATATATTAATATTTTATTAAATATGTATTATTTTATAGCTGCTCCTCTTCCCCGCTCGTCTCCTACGACAATCACGCCACCGCGTTTTGCACCTAGCGTATCTTAAAGTAACGAAGTGACGTCACCCAGAGCATACAATGTGAACTTAATAATAATAATAACTAATGCTCTAGCTATTAAAGATTTTATTTTAGACTAATTACTGAAAGAAATATACACAGTAGGCCTTTATGTCAGCATTTGGTTCACTTCTGTGAAGAAAGTAAATTGTCTAATAGATCAATGGCCGTCAGGGGCAAGAAAACACCAAATTTGTCCACAGGAATCATATTAAGCCTTAATGATTGTTAAAGATTATAGAAATACAGAATACAGACAGAGAATTGTATAAAAAGTTCCCTAAACAGGAAATAATCTGCTCAAAAATCATCCAAATCTCTGGTTTTACACAAACTTCCTGCAGTTCACTGTTTGGGTTCATTGTACAGTTTTAAATATAATATGAAACGTCCATAGAATAAGTCAGTCAGTTTCCTGAAGGATAGAAATGGAAAAAGGTTGGGAAGCGCTGACGCAGAGCTCCCAGAATACGAGCTCTGATGTTCCCGTATCATAACTCCAGCCGGGAACGCACGCCAACATCGTATTTAGTTTCTTTTGTTCTGCGAAGGTGTCATTGCCCCGCCGGAGACAAAGTGCCTTTGTGTGAACGCAGGGGAGTGTTTCTTTAAGTCCAACAAAAAAACCCCACACTCTCTCTTACGCACACACTCATACACACACTCATACACACACTGTGTACACACACTGTGTACACACACTGTGTACACGCCCCTTCCAGGACAGATTTGGTAGATAAAGCGAGAAGCAACAACACTGGCTGCTCATTGTTCTTGCAGGGAGTTGTGCCGTCAGGAATGCAGCGATAGCATCTCGCCTCGATTACAGATATGTCGTGTTGTGGAGTATTATTGGAAGCAGATGTCTTATTTATAGGAAGGGGTTGGGGGGGGGCTTCGCTGGGCCAATGTCCACGTTTATGTTCCAGTTCAGGCTCGCAGACTTTGTGCTTCTCACAGCTGATGGTTGGTTTGAATGTTTGGTCTGAAGTGGAGATATTTCACCGTACAGTTGCAGGAGTTGTTCTGCCTCTTCATGTTATTTTTAGGGGCTGTTGGCTCGTTTATGAGGGCTGTTAAACATCCAGCTTGTTTCTTTTACCAGCCTGGGTGTTATATTTCATCTCATGTATTTTATGGAATAGACCAATTACCTGCCGATTGTCAGCATCAGTATTTTTTAAAACCCGATTGCTGATGAAATAAATAAATTTGGCGCTGGTGGTCTCGTCTCTCGTCTGATTGGTTACACCTTCATGAGTAACAGTGATCATTTAATATTTAAAATAATGTTTTGCGACATTTAATTAAACATACGCTTTTAGTATGAGCATCAAAATACAGTCAAAGTGCAACAAGTAAAAGTCAAAGTAATATATATTATCATTATTGATGCTTTATTACTTTAAACTGCTCGGTAGCTTCATCTGTAATAATACACCATCAATAGTTGATGTATATTTTATATTAATAAAGTGAATCTTTGTCTAAATGTAATTTTCTGTTTAATCGACGGCACAATTAGTCGACAGCAACGAACCGTATACATTTAAACCCCAGAGACAGAAACATCTGGAAGCTCTAGATACTGATCGCTTTATAAAGCATGAAAGGACATCCTGTTTTTTTATGTACAACACTGAATCTGTTTTTTCCTTTTGGCCCGGTTGTTATTGATCACTGAGAAACGCTCTGAGCTAACTATGCTATGCTACTATATTTCTGGTTGCTGACGTCAGTGTTGGTCAGTGTTTTTTGACACAACCAGTAATCAGGAGATTAAAGGGTCGAAGCCACAGTCCCTTTAGGCTAGAAAGTATGCAGTTATACAGGTGCTCTCTCTCTCACACACACACACACACACACACACACACACACACACACACACACACACACACTTCACGATTGGCCTCATCTGACCTAAAATCCCCAGCGGAGTCATCAGCAGGAACATCTGAACCTGATTTAACTGGAGAACCAACAGACATGCAGCTGCTCTGCGTCAGACCGACCTGTAACTGGAAGGTCACAGGTTCTAATCCCACAACACCCAGATGCTCTTGAACAAGACGCTGAAACCTGCTGAACTACGAATATTGTTTATTAGAGCCGCAGCTAACGATCATAGTATTTGTCAGATTTGATCTGTGTTTGGTTTCTGGTGACGCAACGGTTCAAAATCCATCAAACGTCCACGCGAGATGACGGAACCAGCTGTTTGGGCTTTTTTGCAGGAAAAGTATTGATTATCAAAATTGTTGAGCATTTATTTTCCAGGTCACATTCCCTTGAGCAAGGCAGTCAGTGTGAGGGTTTTTCAGATACAAACTGTCTAAATATCATAAATTAAAGCATAAAGGTTTATTTTTGACTGTGGAAATAGTGGCTGGACATTCATCCATTACTCTTTTAGGTCCATGTTGGCTCAAAAACTAAACAGCTGCTTCATTTCCAACACTGGGACAAGACGACTTTCTCTTAAACTGAGAAGTTGTGTGAGTGGTCTTACTCTTAAAATAATGAAAATAATCTGGTTCCTCAGCTGGGATATTATACAAACCATTGTTACTGGTTAAATGGAGCTCAATATTAGCTGGAATGTCTTATTGAGACAAAGTTAGATAGATTGTCTTCAGATTCTAATGCAAAACATGTTTGAAAAGATTTTCTTTTTAGACAAAAAACGTTTAACTTCCTTAAGATTCCCTCTCGCAGTGTTTGAGGTGCTTCACGACATTCACACCATCTCTGGGAAAAAGAAAAGCTCCTCTGTACAGCGAGGGTCTGCTTTGAGTTACAGATGAGCCGCCGGGGGTTAAGAGCCAGTCACTGGATACAGCCTGAGCGATCACACTTTATTTACCTCTTTCCACGAGTTCAAACAGCTGAACGCTACGTCTTATCAATGAGTGTGAGGAGAAGTGATTCATCTGTACAGCAGTGGTTGGTTTGTCCCTTCTGGGCTACTGTAGCTAAAAACAGCTCATTCTAAGTTAACCAACATCAACAACACCATATAGAAATATTATATTCTATTTCTGCCTATTAAACGTCACACACTGGGGCTTTAAGGCACAAATGTACAATCACAAGAATGTGTGAAATGAGAGGGTTGTTTGTACTGTGAACGTGTGAGCTTAGACTGCAGCTAACAGTCTGTTTCATTATCCAACAATCTGCTACGTAATAACTGCCATTTATTTTAATTTAACTATAGTTTATTCTATATTTAACTATAAACAGTATGTTTAGAGAGTCCAGAAAGTGGAACCAGTGAATGTGTTTGTGCAGCACAGTGTCTTAAGTAGACCATCATATAAGAAGAAAATAACCTATTACGTCTTTCCTTCTGTTGGGAAGGAAAAAAGTCTCTAAAACAACATTTGGACCATCGTGAGACGCTTAAAAACTGAAGCATGGAACGTATGACTGCCTTTAAATGCATTAGCTAAACGAATAAATCAAACGTACAAAGACAATTAAACGTGCCGTCAGGTTTTCCAGCCTGTTTTTCTGAGCTTGCAGGTAGATTTTATCCCAGAGCTCAAAACAAGAGCACAGTCTTTGCAAATAGAAATTATAAATAAATGTGACATTTTGAGTCTCCTTTAGGAAGGAAAATCATTTCCTCTCACTCTGCGTTTGTAAACTGTGTATAAAGTACTTCAACAGCACATAAATCCTCCATGGTTTCTGCTCAGGGGTTTTTAGTCTTGTTGCCAAAGCGTGCTGAAAGAACGGAGTTGAACACACAGGTGATAAACAAGCCCTGGAACAGGTGACATCAGGCTGCTCACCTGGTTCCCACGGCAACAGTGGATGGAGCAGGTAGCTGGTTGGTCTGCCTCTGGAGAGTCGAGGTGGTCCGTTTTTTTCCACTCCGCGAACATTTTAATCCCCGACATTCAGCAGCTGTGAGGCAACAACAACCTGGTCTGTGCCAGGAAATTCATCTGAATTGATTAGTCTGATTACATAAAAACACAAAGATTAAGAGGCTGTATAATTACATAATTGTATAATTGATATGTAGCCTCACTTTTCACACATAAAATACTTTTGTATCGTTGTTTTTTAGACATGCAAAACAAGAATTAATGCACATTGTGCAATGTGTTTGATTTGATATTTCCCCTCGTGTGTCTCCTGCTGTGTGTGTGGCAGTCGTCAGTGTCACATATCCAATGTGTCATCTCAGTTTATCCCAGCTGCTGTTGCACTGAGGCACACATGCGTCAGTGTACAGAACACATTTACCCTCAAGCATGTTTGTAATACTCATCATGACCTTTCTGAATCCCAAACTCAAGCTTTGACTGTCGGGGGAAACTAACCTTTTCCAAAAGGGTTTTCTCAGTCTCTGTCAGTGTGTAAAGCTCCTTTTTATGAGGCTTTTTTATTTAAAACCCCCTTCCTGATTCCCTATATTTCCTGCATCAACCCCAGCCTTGTGTTTTGTAGACCCTGTGTTGTTACTGTGTTGTAATGTTGTCCTCTTTCTGTACCCGCAGTCCCAAACCACCACCTCCTGATGGCACTAAGTCCAACCCCTCCAAACGCCACAGAGACCGCCTCAATGGCGAGCTGGACAAGCTCACCAGCCTGCTGCCCTTCACCGAGGAGGTCAGGGCTCGGCTGGACAAGCTGTCCGTGCTCCGCCTCAGCGTCGGATACCTGAAGGTCAAGAGCTTCTTCAACGGTGAGTGTCCAAACTGTGACAATTCGGCCACCTTTCCCCTCAGAGTCTCCAGGTAAAAGCTACCAGGAGAACATTCAGATTGTGTCACTCTCTTTAGCTGCTAAATGCTCCACTATGTTCACCAGCTTTACCTCTGTCTGTCTGTTGTGTGCTGAGACAGGAAGGTCTTTGAGAGTGAACGAGTTGTGGGCCAGGCTGGTAAACAATGAGCTGAAACTCACTTTAAAGCTCTATAAATGAGTTGATGAGCGTGGCATATCACAATGTTGGGAAAAGTGTGTTTTGTACTGCACAAGCGAGTTAGTTTAGTCCGTTCAAGGTTACAGGGCGGAGGTAAAAAAAACACAGCGATTCTTCTTTTCAGTTGATAATACACTAATGAAAACCTACCTATGAATATATAACCTCTATAAGTTCCAGTCATATGTAATTCTGTAGTTTGTCCATCTTTTGAGTGAGTCATATAAGAAGGAGGTCTTATGACATAAGAATGTATTTGTAGACAGACTTTATGGGTGTGTACCACCTCTGCTGGTTTCCTGTGAGAAACCCAGTTCATGGAAACTACTAAAATACCTTCAACCGATCAGTCACACTGTGGTGAGTGTAAGCAGTTTATCGTAAGCTTTTGTTGTGCCCTAAAAAGACAGAAGCACCAATACAAACATAACAGTGTCAAACATCCTGCACACAGTTAGCTGGGAGATACTGGTCTTTTGTTTGTTTGACACTGGAAGTAGAAAATGGTTTAAAGGCAGATTGTCTAGACTGCAGTCAAACTCTAGTATTCATTTTCATACACGCTTGAAGCGGATTTCCAGTGTTTTGAACAGTAGAGCACAAGCAGCTAGAAGTTAGAGAGGGTTAGATATCTCCAAATATAATATAAAAAATAATATTTTTTTGGGAAATGGCTAAGTAAAATAAATTTGACTTAAAATAATGTGGAAGGAAGTAGATTAAATGCTTGTCTCCTGTTTGTCGCTACAGATAAGTGCTAGAAAAAGAGATAAACTGGGTGTAAAAACCCTCTGCTGCCATGTTTCTGTCACCATGACGCAGGGAAACTTGAAGCTCAGTGAGATTATTTCCAGCAAGCTTCCTTATATTGTTCTGCTGCCTCTTAGATAATAGCATCCATTCGGTCCAGACAGTCTGACAGACAAGGTTCCTATTTACAGTAAAGGGGAGGTGGGTGGGGGGTGCAGCTATATCAGTGCAGGGCTGTGAAATTTGGCCCTTCTCACTCACCATATTTTTGTGGAGCTGACTTCTTCAAAAGGAGGTGTGAAGAGGAGCGAACAGAGACGTCTGTAATGTAACCATAATATAAATATATATATATATATATATATTAGCTCCACCTTTATAATCCAATAATATGATATATATGATTCTGAAATGAGCCATGTTGCATAATTAGATGTAACAGTATTTCTACACTGTGCTACGTTTACTTCAGTAAAGATCTTAATACCTCTAACATACAGTACATATTGTCTACATACATACATTTGTGCTTTTCTCCATTTTATATCTTTGTTTTTTTAATTTTTGGTCTGACAAAATAAGCATTTGAAGTCTTGTGATAGGCATTTTTTTTTACTTATAGACAACTGAAAACTACAGCTCTTGTTAGTTTAGAGTCGAGACTTAGAAAACGTAGCCGAATGACGCTAACAGCTCCAACCAACCAGCTATATGAGCGTGAAATTGCAAGTGGACTTTTGAATGTAGCTGAGGACAACAAACAGAAAACAACAACAACGGAAGAAGGTAGATTTATTTGTTGTATTAATTAAATTTAAGCATCTCATCATAATTTTATCAAAAGGAGTCTCCAGCCTTAATTCAACGGAAATCAGGAAGAAGGTAATCAGAGGAATGTGTAGGGAAGAGGTGATATATCATCAGTCCTGAATACTGGAATAAAAACCGCTCTAGTGTTCACTTTATTGCTTTGAGAATTAGGCCTTTAATGCTGGAATCAATGAGAGTTTTTGTTCTGAAACACAGTTCAGGCTGCAAAGTGAGCCAGAAATCTCAGCTGCTGGCGAGTAATCAATGAGTCACTGGCATTGACTAACAACCCTATCAAACCCCTGCAGGCATCTTATGGTGTATTTGTGCTCTGAGACAGTAAAAAATGACTTATTGCCTCTTTGATATGTGTGTATCTGCAGAAACTGTTCTCATCAACACAAAGGAGAGCTTCAGTCTTCTTGTTCCAACAGCCTCGACCTGTTGCCAAAGGAAACAGACAGCAGAGCCTGTTGCTTTGGAGTCATAAATTATTTGGCAGCGCTGGTCACTTAGCGTCGGCTGAACAAATGCGTTTGGAGGCAGCGTCGGGAGTCTGGTTACTTTCAAACGCCGCTGTCAGTGTGGGCTGAGGTTGTGGGCTCTAGCAGCTTCACTCAGCGCTTTCATTTTGAAAGAAGATCAGAGGGAAGAGAGCGAGTGTTTGATTTAGATTTATTAACTCAAGAACATGCTGACATGGTGTGGAGTAGGGATGTGTACCAGTACCAGTCAAATTCCACAAATCTCAATACCAATTTGATATCACGGTAAAATGTTCTTTCGCCTACGACCCTGATTTAATATCTGCTGATAGTCCCGATCCAATGTTTGTATTTTCCTCTGTAATACCGGAGGATAGCTCTGCATTAAGAAAAAAGCTGTTCCTCCATGTTTTTATATTTAATATATTCATATTAATATAGACTATGATACATATATTTTATACTAAAAAACTAATAAACAAAGTAGGCTATACAATAGCCTAACAAGCTCTCTCTGTAGTATATGTTGGTCTTGTGGCAGTCTAGAGGGAGTTTCTCTCTTTAAAAGTGTCCTGCAGAGTTTGTTGAGCTGTATTCTGCTGGATGTTCATTTTCCTCGCCTGTACATCTTTTTGGGCTCTCAGCTCCACCCGCAGACGGAGGTCTGTGCACTAAAGTTTCATGAGTAAATCAATCAAAGCCAAGATAGTTATTATTCACTGGTTCACCTTGGGTTTGGAAACAGATATAAAAAAGGCATGCCATGACTCAGGTGTGCAAAAGCTCCGCTGTTTAATTTGGAACCGGTTAGCCTGAGCGCTAACTATAGCAACGGTCTGTCTGTCACCAACTAAAATTAAATGAGAGAATATTTATCCAGTATTCCTTTTTCATTTAGATTTTCTTTGCCAAAGAAAAGATCTGCTAAGCCTGTCTGTATGGCACTAATGTTATTTATTAGGGGTGTGAATCTCTCCCTAAAACAATCCTATATGTATGTAGATACATGTAATCTAAAATCTGATCACATTGCTTACCTCTGGAGCCCAGTTGGAGCTCAGTTGGAGCCCAGTTGGAGCTCAGTTGGAGCCCAGTTGGAGCCCAGTTGGAGTCCAGTTGGAGCTCAGTTGGAGTCCAGTTGGAGCTCAGTTGGAGTCCAGTTGGAGCCCAGTTGGAGCTCAGTTGGAGCCCAGTTGGAGCCCAGTTGGAGCTCAGTTGGAGCCCAGTTGGAGTCCAGTTGGAGCTCAGTTGGGGTCCAGTTGGAGCTCAGTTGGAGCTCAGTTGGAGCTCAGTTGGAGCCCAGTTGGAGTCCAGTTGGAGCCCAGTTGGAGCTCAGTTGGAGCCCAGTTGGAGCCCAGTTGGAGCTTAGTTGGAGCCCAGTTGGAGCTTAGTTGGAGCTCAGTTGGAGCCCAGTTGGAGTCCAGTTGGAGCCCAGTTGGAGCTTAGTTGGAGCCCAGTTGGAGCTCAGTTGGAGCCCAGTTGGAGCTCAGTTGGAGTCCAGTTGGAGCTCAGTTGGAGCTCAGTTGGAGTCCAGTTGACACCGCTGCGCTGTAAATCATGTTGGCAAGCCACGCTTTGCTAACGTTACTCTCTCGAAGTGAGACCGTGGTGTTTACCTTTTACCTTTCACGAGCGTGGAGACGCTGTTGGCAGCAAAGCTTCAGTCAACTGATTCATAACTTAGGAATCGGACCATCGACCGGTTCTTGGTACACTTAGATCCATCCAGGGGTCCGTGTACCGATGCAGCTGGGAAACAGTGTCACTTGTCACACAAAAGACGGTGGATTATTCATCCAATCATTTATTATTGGACCTATTTGATGATCTGTTGTTGCACATAACATAACTGCAACGTGGACGCACCAAAAGACGTGACCCCATCTGACTTTACATTTCCTGCTGAGTGCTTGTAAACTACATATTGGAGAGACTGATTTCCTTCATGAAGTGGACAGAGATAGTTTCATAATAGCTATTGAAAAACACACACATACACTCCCCCCCCACCACCCATCATGTCTTGGCAGCTGATCCATCACTCTCCCTCCCACAGAGCCCCACCTATTTCCTGTGGCGGCCCCTGCTGCACCCCGGGGCCCCTTTTCCTTCAACTGTTCGGCCTTTTCCTCAACGGCTCCTCCATCTGAGGTTCACAGCTCCTCCGACCCCTCCGCCCCCACATCCAGCCCCCCCTCCACCTCAAACAAACGCTGCAGGAGTCCAGTTTGTTGTTACAGCAGGGAGGCCTGTTCGCACGGCAGGCCTGCACCGGCACAACTCGGGCCTTTATGCATTCATGAAACTCCCTAACACACACACACACACACAAACACACACAAACACATACACAAACTCACACACACTGCTTCAAAGGTGGATTTTTAGTGCATGCATCAGACTTCATTTAAAGTGTATTGTGGTGCATGTGATTATCCACATTTGAGGTCTTTAAGTATTTTAAAGTCCCCATTAGTGTTGCTTTTGAGGTTTTACTTTTTCATTAAGTAATAACAAGTTTGTTTGTCCACCTTTAGATGAATCCAGTAATATGCAATATGGGCTCTGTCTGCTTTACTGAAACCAGTTGTCCCTTCATTTCCTGGTATCTTTTTATCGTCCTTTATAGCTTCAGCTCTGTCATTAGCCTTCGTCTGCAGGAAGTGCTGTGCGTCTTGCTCGTGAAATCATTCTGAGATCATTTTGCTTTCATAA